TTTTAGAATGCCACTATCATTCAAAAGATATAAGTGGGCCATTATTAAATACTATGAAAAACTATCATTTCATAACATAGGTTTGTGACAAATGCTCAAAATTGTGTCAAGTAGTTTTGGAGATTTATTTTAATTCTAATTTGGCAATATTCTTTACAGTTTTTCTGTGCATTTTTAAAGTAAAACATTTGGTGCATATCAGTTACCTTACAAGAAAACACTTCACATTACATATTTATTTGTTAAAATTATAATAATAAATCAACACTTTCCCAACGGTCTATCTCGATTAAATATTAGTTAATTTCACACCAGAATTAGCCGATTGTCTCCATTTAACTTTGTAAAAAAAAAAGTATTAAAATCTTTTACAGCTTTCTTATTTTCATTTTATTGTTTAAAATCATTGTAGAGATGAGTAATATCTTTTATGACTGCATCCTATAAATGTTCAATGCCATTTGATGCTGCTGAATGCCACTGCCATTGCATTGAGTATTGCCATTATGAGCCAATGGTTATAATTAGGTGCTAATGATTGTAGCAGCATTGTACATTGTAGCATGTTCTACATTGGTCAATAAATCACCATTACATTTTTTAAACTAAGACGTACTTATTTTATCTAAATCTAATTTAATTTTGAAAATGATAAAGTTTATTATTTCTAATTAAATAACAACATGTTGGGTATCACCTGTGAAAATGTCGAGTTTAAATAGAAACAAATAGAATAAATTTAAGAAAACAATAAGTTTTATGAATAGTACAGGACTTCAGTGGAATGCTTGGACCGAGGATAGAGAAAAAAAGTTTAACAAAGATTTGACACCAAGGATCAGTTTCCTGGACTAATATGCCCAGGGGTGTCGATCCCCCCCCCACCCTCCACGTCCGATGGCGCATAAATTCCTCCTCTCCAAAAATTGTATTTCCCTCCTCTTCTAAAAACAGTGCAAGCGAAAGTATAATTACAAAAATCGTAGATCATAAACCATTACACTAGTTGTGTCTGCTCCATGTTCTCCACCTAGTTCTCTATTTTCAATCTGACAATTTATAACAGTCAAAATATGACCCCCTCAAAAACTTAGATGGCGCAACTTGCTTCATGAAACCCCTGAATAAGCGATTAATGTATAAAGAAATTACCCAATTTCCTTATAAATAATCGAACACACTTCTCCATAAGAACAATTTATGGTACTAGTTCAGAAGAGTTCCGCACGGATTACGTATGGTTCACAATCACTTCGGTCACACTTGTTCATGGAATCCCGAATGCCTTCGGGTTTATCCGACAGAGAACGAAGGCGACCAATCTCTTGAATTAGTTATTACGATTAACTTTCCCGCCATTTAAGTACTTCTATAACCTTAAACATGTTCAGTTATATTAAGGTTATTTAAGGTATTGACTTAAATTCGAAATTTAGATTACACATTATGAAATCTGAATCGAACATGTACATATATTATATATCTGTGAAAAAGGAATATTAATAGATAAAAACATTTAATTATTACATCAATGAATGATATTTCACAATATTTTTCTTATTTATGATTTCTATTATTCATTATCTCGGAATTATCAGATATTCTTCGTCAGTTCTTTTCTCAATACGTTAATTCCTTTCTCGAAAATAAACACGATTTTTTTATTTTACGAATGACTACAATAATCACCATTCAGATTATTTATTATCCAAAGGATGAAAAACTCTTTTATACAATTTATAAAAGATAATATACAACAGTATATGCGTATTTTTTATAGCCACTACATGTAAGCACGTGTCAATAAAAATTTTATTTCTAAAAGCATTTTTTTTTTTTTACAGGCCTTGAAGAAAGGACTCAAACATTATTTTATATATGTTTTTATATATATTTTCTATCACAGTAATGACCGTTATAATGCAAATTAATAATTAACTAATTAGTAAATACATTTTTAATAAGGAAGTTTAATAAGGAAGTCAGAAAGGAAATACGTTTTTTTTTCTTCTAAAATGCATGAAAAAGGATGAAAAGGTACAATAGCTGACGTCATAAAAGACGACAACATTCGGCTGTTTTCGGGATTCCATGAACAAGTGTGATCGAAGTGATTGTGAACCATGCGTAATCCGTGCGGAACTGTTGTGAACTAGTACCCAATTTATTTTTAAGAAAACTTTTTTCACAACAGAATTTTCTATTTTATAATTATGAAAATTTATATTTACAACTTTATAGTAGTGATTAAAATACCTTCACTAATATTATTTTTAATAAATATTATCACTTAATTTAGTAAGAATAACAACTTACAAGGGAGGTAACGGACGTGGGGTCACCGGTTTCAATGAACCTTTTTTTGGTGATACAAGGTCGAAAACTATTAGACCTTTGCTTGAGTGTTCTTGTCAAACTCTAATGTGTAATTGATTGTGAAAACTCAAAGACATTCCCAGTAATGTTGATCGAGTAAATGTTTGTAATAAAAAACATATTCAGAATCGTTCTTAGCGTCCACTATTTATAATAAAAAAAAACTTATTTTTTGGACCTAATTTTATAGGCAGATTTTTTTTTTTTACGTTTACTAAAATATTCATAATTCAACATTTTCTCCTACATCAACACATTACTACAGCCGTTGGAAAGTTGAACTGTTGCTCATATAATTCATATCAATAACTTTTAGATTTTATCCCTTTAAAAGTAATAAATGTTCTACTTACGAGTTTGCTGTTGTCTGGTTTGACCAATGTTATGTAAACTAAAGGACCCTAAATTCAAGCTAATTATCTCATGAATAAGTGGACCCATCTCGAAATTATCACAACTTTTGAGATACAATGAAGAAAAAAAAAAAAAAAAAAAAAACCAAGCCTCCAAGCTGGAGGGAAATTTTGAGCAAAATATTCTAATTTTTCGCATCTCTAAAAATCCTTGAATAAGAATTTTCGTTGCAATCGAAAAACGAAAATTTTTTACTCAATATTTTGCCTTCTTTTAACAGCTCTTAAGAGGTCCATCGATATTTATACCTTTATAGTAGATGTTCCAATTCTCAAAACTGCTCATATTAAAAAAGTTGATATGGCCAATTAATAGTAGAAACAATTAAGACAAAGAATATCAAATTTATGCGAAAAATATTAACATTCGTTTTCATACAAAATAGCTGTTACTGGTGCAAGCAAATTTCGGACAGATATAAAACTATTATTATACATGTAAACATCTTTCTATATGTTTTATTTTTATAAGGTTTTCTATTGTATGCATTTTATCTAATTAATCACCATTATTTAATTACTAGAACGTGTCAGCATAGGTATTTAGTTAGCAAATATTAAAATACTACTGCCTGTTAAATAACCTCAGAGAAAGGTTTCCATGTTGCTTCACACCACGTGATCTCATATTATGAGAATTAAATTGTTTGTTTATCAGTGTATATTTGTTATTGTACTCAAACTATAACTGTATGCCAAATATATATATTTTTTTCTGAACTGGATGGGTATCGAAAGTAAGATTACACGCACAAAATCTAGTTTTCAGGCAAAAAATGTTGATTCGATCCGAAAATAATAATAAAGGGTGTAAGGTAAATATTATACACACACAATACTTTAGTGATAATAGGATGAATATGAGAGAAATAAATCTTCCTCCAAATGCTGTCCTTTATTACCAAATTGTTAATTAACTTTACAAATTCCTAAACACAAGCCGTAGCCCTTATAATATCATATAACACTATTAAAAAAAAACAAGACTTATAGAGGAAACAACGCCTCCGTGGCCAACGCAAAACTATAGCTGGTGAGAGATTAATAATGGATTTGTCACTGAATAATATGAAATACACTGATACATATTAATACAGAGAATTAATGGTAAACAAAATTATTTAGATCTGAACATGAAAAGAAGAAATAAAAGGATCAAATGAACGCAGCAGTGACAAATCCATTTTACACAACCCCCTTTGCTCACACCAGCTGTGTACATAACCTATCTCAACACACTCGTTACTTCACTTTTATATTCTATTTTTTATTGATATTTCAATTAAATAATAAAAATGCACTACTTACTTGGACTTCTTGTAAGTAAAACTAAAGTGGTACAATATAAAGCTGCCATGAATTTTTTTACTTAAAAAGAATATGGTGCTTCTTTCATTAAAAAATTATGTCTGGTATAAATGTTAAACAGTAGAGAAACTATGTGAGGATTTTGGTGAGCATGTATGATTTCTGGTCGGTCATTATTGAAATATTGAATTGTTATATACATATCAATTGGCATAAATAACAATTCAAGTAATACCATGAATCTTCGAAAAATAAAAATACACTACATCTCGGCTATATCAATGAAAAATGTAAAATAATCTCTTAAACCGATCAAACCTAAAAATTATTCACTAATATTAACATGTCAACATACAATACCAGATAAGTAACATAAATTTATAAGAAGAAATAATTATAATCAGATTCTTTCAGACATCGGTCCCTCTTGATAGACCTGGTTCAAAACCAAAGTACCTGTGGCACTCCCCCCGCCCGCAGGTACTGACCAAGCCGTATCTGATCTCGATTTCCTTTAATAGTAATGATCCTATCATTAGATCTTGGTGATGGCTTATAATTGGATTTTTTGTAAGCAGGTATAATTCCTGGTTGGTCATCATTTAAATATTGAATTGTTAAATATATATCAATTGGCATAAACCAACAATTGAATACAACAATATCATGCATCTTGGATAAATAATAAAAATAAAAATACACTATACCTCTGGACTATGTCAATGAAAAATGAAGATAATCTCTTAAACCGACCAAACCTAAAATTATTCACTAATATCAATATGTCTTACATACAATACAAGATAACTAACATAAGAAGAAAGTAAAATAAAATTTACAAGAAATAATTATAATTAGATCCTCTTATACATTGATCACTCTTGATAGGCCTGGTTCAGCACATCAGTATCTGCTGCGGGACTCTCTAACTGCCTGCTGCAACAGGTACTGACCCAGCTGTATCTGATCTGGATTTCCTTTGATAGTAATAATCCTATCATTAGAACCTGGTAATGGCTCATCTATAGTGATCTCTGCTCCAGAATTCGAGCGCACTTTTCTGATCCTGGATCCACCCTTTCCTATAATGGCCCCAGCTAAATCTTTTGGAATAGTCACTTGGGTCTGATCAGGTATATCTCCTCTTCTAAAGGGTACTGATCGTGGAGGAGGGGGTGATGGAAATCGGCCAGGAGCACCGCCTTCCCATATAGGCCTTCCACCACTGATTCTTCCACTTCCAAAGCCACCGTAATCCTCAGCGAATTCTTCATCAAAGTTAGAAGGATCGTACAGTTCAGAATATCCTTTCTGGGGAGTATCTTTCAGTAAGGCAAGTATTTCCCTAACTCCATTCAAAGCAACTTCAGCAGAACCTACAACTGAGACAACACGATCAGTAGATTGTGGGCAGCAGTTTCCAAAAATCTTGATTTTAGCTGAAGTCTTTTCCCTTAGTTCTTTAACCTTAGCACCACCTTTGCCTATGACACATCCAGCTAAGGACTGGTGAACCAGCAACCTGACGTCCACTTCATTCTTTGAAGAAGAAAAAAATTCATCCAAACATGGAATGATTTCACCCAAGATATTAACACATGTTTCTTGATCAGCAGTAATTGACACAACTCTTTCTGGGCCTGAACAATCGGGTACCTGGAGAGTAGCATTAAAATCTGATCTTAGTCGACTAATATTCTTACCTCCTTTACCTATAATAGAACCAGCAACTTTAGAGGGAATTAAAAGTCTCAATGAAGGCTCCTCAGATTGGCGACTTCGCTTTAAGCCACCCCGCTCAGATTTCATATCAGACTTACGTTTCATGATGTTTCTTGGGTATGATGTACAATTCAACGATGAGTGACTGGTAACAAAACTGCAAAGGAACGAACAATATTTCGAAACAATCTGGTTACGCTTATAGAGAGCAACCTCAAAGAATGATATAACGAGTGTTTTAGAGGCAGGTTATGTATACACAGCTGGTGTGAGCAAAGAGGTTGTGTGAAATGGATTTGTCACCGAATAATTTGAGAAATATTGATACATAATAATAATAGAAAAAATTAATAATAAACAAAAAATATATTTTAATTAAAATTAAAAAGAAGAAATAAAAACGATCAAATAAAAGCGAATGAACAACCTCTTTGTATAAAATATATTAGTCACTGCCGCGTTCATCTCATCTTTTTTATTTATTTTTATATTTAGTAGAAATATGTTTTTTGTTCATCATTAATTTTTTTTAATTGTTATTATGTATCAGTATTTCTCACATTACTCAGTGAGAAATGCATTTCAGAATCTTTGCTCACACCTGTTGTGTATACATAACCTGCCTCTACAACACTACTACATATTCGTTACAATAGTATGAAATATATTTTTTGGGGATTAAAAAAAGATATTTAATGATCTTATTTAACTTAAATAAGAACTTTCGTTGCAATCGAAAAATGTATTTTGTTTCCACATTAACCTCTTTATATCAACAGCTCTTGTGAGGTTCATCTACATATGTTTAGGGGCCATTTTTATATTGTTAGACCGTTTGATGTCTCCGGGCTTTAGAATAAAATAAATTTAGCTCAAACACAAGAGGAAATATCTCAATGTGAATGTAGGAAAACGAAACGAATGTCACTGTCCCCAAGGTGAGGATGCTAAGTACTTCAGGCTTTGTTGTGAACAATCTGTATTCGATAGTAAAGTAGAAAAACATGTTTGTATCCAAAATTTGGAGAAAAACGTCGTTATGAATGTTACCGACTTTGCTTACAATACTGTTCATATAATATCACGGAAAAGGATTTAAAAGCAACTTTCTGTGGTACCAGCTACAAGCACATGTGTATTCTTGAGGCATAAAATAGCAGCTGGTTAGAGACTATACATTTTTTCTTCCAAAATATTCTGTCATAAAAATCGTTCGTAAATAATGGTATCATTATTTTACTTGACATAGTTCAATTAACATTATGGATGACTATTGCAAAATAAGTAATATGTAGCCATTTATTTAGGGTTAAGGTTACTGTGGTGTATTATTTCATAAATAAAAAATATACACTGACAAACAAAAACTTTCATAGACTCATAATAAGAAATTATAAAGCACATATTAAAAGATTACATGGAAACCTTTCTCTGAGGTTATTCCACAAGCAACCCTATTTTAATTATATGCTGACTAAATTACCTATGCTGACAAGTTCTAGTAATTGAATAATTAATGATGATTAATTATACAAAATGTATACAATAGAAAATCTTATAAAAATTTAACATATAGAATGATATATACGCATATTACAGTTTCACATATATCTGTCCAAAGTTTGGTTACACCATTAACAGCTATTTTGTAAGAAAACGTCACGAATGTTACTATCATTCGTATAAATTCAATATCCTTCGGTTTTAATTGTTTCTACTACTAACTGCTCATATCAGTTTCGTTATTACAAGCATTTAGGGAACAGGAGGAGGATTTAAGTTGTTTTTCTTCAAGGCAATGATTAAATAAACGATAATCATAACTTTTATTTTTCTCATGTTAATATGAAACAGTTGTGGTTTACTTTTATCTTTATTATGTTCATAGCCAATATATCTTTCCAAAAAAATGATATGTTTTTTAACCCAAATTCCTAAACCCAGAAATGCTAAATGATCAACAATATAAGAATAACCCTTATTTTTTAAATTTATTGTACATTAGAATTTGTTTAATACAATTAGCAATACGTTTTTCTTATTTTACACAAAAAAACAAAACAAATCACCTCGGTAGTGTTGTCCAAATATAAGATCAAAACGAGACTCAATCGGTCTTGGTCTTGATCTAGCGTCTACAAACCTGGGCTTGCGCCCTAGGTCTTGCTCTAGCGCAAGAGTCTTACAATTACCTCTTAGCATGTTGCTATTTGTTAAACATGTTACTTTAGAATTAAAAAAAACAACAGAATTGGTAAAATTAGGCTTTAAATTGATACAGACATAATAAAGTCCAACCAGATCAATAAAATTAACTTGACCATACATTAAAGGCATTGTCAAGAAAGATAGTGATAGGTCCCCTTCTTAAAAGGAATGGAAGAGTTGAAGAGTAAATACGAACTGTTCACTGTTGCCAATTATAACTATCAAATCTTGTGTGTCCATTCACACGACTGGTGTGACAAAAATTTTGACAACTTTAAATATGGCCATTATATAAACCACAATTGAATTAGAATAATTTTCCTGAAAACTAATCAGAAAAATCATTAGAGTACTATTCCTTTGATGAACTAAAGCAATGTAAATAGACAATTGAACAATTATTAAAATCAGTCAATAATATTCAATACACTGCAACTTTGCTAAAATATACAGTTGTAAGAAAATTGGAGTGTGGTAGCTCAGTGGTAGGGCGCTGAGCTTTCAAAGCTCAATGCCCCAGGTTCAAATCCCCACTTATGGAAGACAAATTATTTATACTATTTCATCAGCCGTGGATCTTCTTTGAGGTCGAGAGACCCTCCTAAGGCACAACCCAGGCTCAATAAAATGGGGGTACTTTTAATTAAATAATTAATTAAGGACGAAAACTGGCGGTTGAGCTTGACTTCTTTGCACAACCGTTGACAAAGAAACAGTACTTTCCCTAAATAGTACTGAACCCAAGACCCTTCAAAGGGAGTAGTGGTACGGGCATTTTTTTTTTTTTGTTGGATATTTTTTTTTTTTTTTGTATAGCCTGTTTTTACAAGTATTACACCTGTAGGCCTCCCCAATTAAGAGGGTAATGGTCTAACTTCCAGCGGGGACCAGCCGTATTGGGAAGTAGGGCCGGGATTCGATCCTATAATCTTTGCTTTACTAGTATAGCGCGCTAACCACTCTGCTATACCGGCCCCTCGGATATTTAATAACCTTTAAATTTAGAAAATATATGTTAAAATGTGGGGGCTCTGAAATGTAAGGATCCTTTGGAGACCGATAGAATACTTTGTGAGTTAGCATCCAAAACTTTTTTCTTAGAAGATTATTAGAAAGTTTCATCTAAATCGTTAGAGCCATTTTAGCGATACAGAAAAATACGTTTTTCTGTTATCGTGGAGCTGCTATTGCGCAGGGAGACGCAATGTTTTTCACAGGTATCTGTAGTTAAAACCTTACAAAATAAAAATTGAAGCAATGTAATCGATCCACAGGTTTGCAAGGGGGCTCAGCCTCAATCAGACAGACAGACCAATGACTGAAAATGTGTTTTTTGGACTCAGAGTAGTCCTAAACTTAAAAATCAGTTGAAAAGTGCACATTGGAAATTTTACCTTAGTAAATTTAATCACCATTTAAAAAAAAACCTACTTTACGATGATATAATTAGAATTTAATATTCAATTATCTTGAACAATTTTTGAGCTATTCCTTCTTATTCAATAAAAACCGTGACCACCTTAAAGAAAACAACACACAATTGGTTAAAAAGTCCTTTTCAATTTGGAATCATCAGCCCTTGTATCAAACAAACTTTTATGTTCAAAATTTTGTTTAGAATCACACTTCCGAGTTTGGCCATTAGGAACTGAGATATTGAGTTTTATATACAAATATTTATAAATTATAATAACAATAAACTGCTTAGTATAATATTATAAGATTTTAAAATAAATTATCTATCTTGTATTCTCCTTTATTCAGTCTTGCTTCCCTCCCTCCCCCACTAATATGAAAGCTACTTATCATCGTTTATGTAGATATTCTGGAATAGTTATTGCTTATTTCTTATCAATCAATATAAGAAATAAGGAATGCCGTTCAAAGAACATTATTTAGTAAAGTACACTTAATTGACTTATTTTATAATGAAGGGTTCATTTTTATGAAAAAGGCAAGAATATGACAGAGGATTTGTTATATTTAGAGAACGCGTGTTTAATTAGGCAGGTTGTTGCTGACAGCCTGGAAGGGTGACAGTTACAACTTCCGTTGTCGCCGTATGCAAGAGGCAATGATCTAATTAGTGTGCTCATGACTCCTTTGAAAATTATAGTTAGCGCATCGCTAACTCCTATCTAGCGCCCTTTCAAGATTTAGGAAAGTGAGATAGAAGACTTTTGAGGTTTCATGAGCAGACTAACTAAAAAATATTTTAAGACATTATTATTAAGGGTATTCATGTAACCATTGCTAATGTTGCTAATGTAACCTAAATGTAAATGTGTTAAAGTCGAGAAACTTACTTAAGATTTGTGTGTTAAATAAAAATTAAAGTTCTCACCCTAGGACTCCCCACCTGGACAATCGTCTGACTTGGAATCCTCATACCAAACTGAAACGACAAGAAACCGCTCGACGTTTCCGACTACTTCAGCACTTACTAGACAAACGCTCTAACCTTTCAATTAATAACAAAAGACTCATATACATGACCATAGTAAGACCTATTTGGACTTACGGAGTTGAGCTTTGGGACTCCTTGATCCCTGATAACCCTCCTAGGCGTCTGAAAAGAAGATGGCCTCGTGATCTCCTAATTTAGGAACTCCTAAATGTGTTAAATTCGAGAAACTTACTTAAGATTTGTGTATTAAATATGGCCGCTAGCTCACTCAATTTTAACACGGTCTAGGGTTTATCAAAATAATAATAATCTATTAAGTAGAGATGCCATCTCTCCTTAGGTGAACATTATATTTCTCTTCTCTTAAAGAAGTACAAGATATAGTAGAATTGGAAAATTTGAAGATCATATAATATTATACTTGATGTGGATTGTTCCATGTTTTTCCCTAGTTAGAAACTTCTTATTTCAAGAATTCATAATCCCTTCA